TTAGACCTATTCCAAAAATAATAATAACTGCGCGGTAGTATACTTGTTTAATGAGAAAGGTTGAATCAGGAGCGTCATTTGGGAGGGAGCAGGGTGTGCGGTTGCACCCTTCACTGTTAAAATAGTAATTAAATTATATTTTTATATTAACGATATTGGTATTTTACTGTCAGTACAAACAAATATCGTGCTGTCGATAGTAATTGAGTAAAACATGAATCTATCTATCGTGAATTGTATAATCTACCAGACATACCTGATACCTACAGAATACAGATAGAGATAAGTAACTTATTTACAAAAGTCAAAAGTTTGATAACTTTGCGGTTAAACGGTTAAGAGTTGCTATTAAGGAAACATTAAACTTTACCAATCACAATGGCGTCAAATGAAAGGTTTTTCAATGCTTACAAATTTAAAAACATATTTACGCGCTTTCATGGGCGATGATAAAAGTCTGAACGTACTTATGGTGCTAAATGTTTTCTAAAAAAGAAGTAAATAATATCGATTTAGAAAAAAACTGTATTTGCTGGACTTAAAAACCGCGAATACCTATATCCTCTTATATAAATATAATAAAATTGTTTTTTTTTTTTTTTTTTTTTTTTTTCGGAGCGTTTATTTGTGCAAAAATTACACACATTATGCACTTTTCTTCTTTTTTTTGTATAGTATTTCTCATCTTCAATATTTCATATTTGTATGCATTTATCATTTGTTTTCACAGATAAAGTATCAATTATTTATTATTTTTTAGACTTTAAATAGCTGTTTACTATTCATGTTTATTGCGATTCGGTTACGTACTCGGCTTTTTTTCTATGGGGGAGGAGGGGAATTGTATTTGGTTTTGATAACCATACACACAAATTTGCAGAATGTACTTAGTGGTATATACATTGATATTTTAGGGGTAGATAGTTAGGTACAAATTACAATATTAATATATATTATACATACATGCTTATTTTAGATTCTGAGTGTAGCGAAGAATGTATTGGATTTATTAAGATTATTATTATTTTTTTTTCTTATATACTATGTACAAACATTCGACCAGAAATCTTGCTTGGATTTGAATTGAAAACGAAAATTGTTAATTATAACTTAATAAATGTGAAAAGGTTAATTTAAGTTTTTCTTACGTAATTGTAAAATTATATTCATAAATAACTTAATAATTCCGTGTTTAGTCATTTTAACATCAAAAATATTGATAATCGAAGAGCAATTCTTGTTAACACAACCGCTCAGGAACATTCATTTCACTCTAAATATAGTGTTTAATATAGTATTGTGCAAAATTTAAAATTTTCTGTTGTTAAAATAACAACCGAAAATTTAAAATTTTCTGTTGTTAAAATAACAACCGAGTAGGTCTATGTGTATTGCACACATAGACATCTGTAGTTAATTTAATTTTAACACGCCGCGTGCCGTACCGTCACACGAATGATACTCCACTACTCTCCTTCGACCGAAACTTAAAAGTCAAACATCTCTTCAGTGGCTTGACAGAAATCAAAAATTTCAACACCCAAATTTATTAAAAGCAATACTACATCTATTTATGAAATTTTTAATATGGGTTCTCGTTTTAAAATCCAAAGCTGGTATCACCACAGGATACTCTTAAATGTTTTGAAAAATATAAGTAATACGAAATTATCAGCTTTAAATACATTTAAAAATTGCAAAATTCAGAGTTTGAATGTATGCAAAATTTAACCGGTAAAATTTTCAAAACATTTCGTAGATTTTCCCGTTTTTTTTCTTTCGGTTTTTCACACATTTATTTAGAAAACTTCTGAGAAAATCAAAAAATGACCTCTCTAAAGTACCTCCCTACACCGATTTTCTTTCAAAAAAGGTGTTACACTTGAAAATTGGAGCAAGATTTCTGGTAGAAAAATTGCGCACAGATAAAAAAAAAAAAAAAAACATCTCTGTAAAACCGTAAGCTTCTTCGCTCCACTCAGAATCTAAAATGTACAAGTCAATTTAATATAAAATATTTGAATAACGAATACCGATATTAAAACACTTCAAAAACCAATTTGTTTGCATCAATTGCCATGTTGCTTATCAAGCTGGGTATGATTATTATCCCAAAGATTAATAGAATCAAATAAAAAATTTTTTTTAAAAAAATAGGACATTTTATTTTTAAAACTTTTTCAATATTCCTTACTCTAAAGCTATACACGTCAGGGCTATCACGAAACCGTGTGCTCTGGTTAAGAATTATATTACGTACATATTTTATTTTAACATTTTCTACAGGCGTGGAGTTATTATAACTTCACATTTAAACATGCGGAATGAAAATCTAATTTTACATCTTCACATTATTTGCCGTACGCAACATTTATTTTACCTTGATAAACCAATTCTTTATCACATAAAAGAGATAATGCCGATTTTTCATTATTTTGAATTGATAAATTCTACATGTTTTGATTCAATAAAGCCTTAACATTAGCCGATATTCTATTTTAAGATGGGAGATGAGAGGAATATTATTATATGTCCATATTATTATTATTATCATCTGTCCATATTATCATTTATAAAGCATAATTAATCAACGATATTATATTGACTTTATACCATTATATATTATACATTATATCAATCTTCGATTGATTAGACGTTTGAACCAGGTATATAATATTACCGTGTCTATATATATTTTAAACCTTCGTTACTGCCAATGTTCAACAATAAAAGAACAGAAAACTGTCCTCTAGACCTTGGTGTTTTCCATCGTAATGTGCATAATATATAGCATAATACGATTGTCATTGATATTATGAAATTAATACCATCAATAATGGGCTTTTTTTATAGACTTATTATAAGTTACTAACTTAGATGTACAAATAATTTTATATGTAAAAGGATATTAAATAATAATAATAATGCAATACGTAACATAAGATGTACAAACACAAAAGATGACGTCATGTCCAGAGGAAATCTAAAAAAAAACCGTAAAAAAGGGGGAAAATGGGGTTCAGATGAAAAAAGACATCCTAGGATAATGAGGGCGGGTGCCTTGACAATTTTAGATTCTGAGTGGAACGAAGAAGCTTATAGTTGTACAAAGATGTTATATTTTTTTTTTTTTTTATCTGTGCGCAACTTTTCCATTAGAAATTTTGCTCCAACTTTTAATGATAACAATGTTTCTAAAAGGGAATTTCATTAGCGAGGTACTTTAGAGAGGTCATTTTTCGATTTTCCCAGTAAAGGTGAAAAACCGAGATAAAACATGGAAAAACATAGGAAAACTGGAAAATCAGTACAACAAAATATATAAAACTTATTTAATTATTATTTTACTACAAAATGACATATACAGTGCATTCATGCTAAGAGGTACCGCTAAATATTTCAGTTGGATGACATAGTATTGGAATGAAATTTTCTGGGAATAATAGGGAGTACCCAAATACACATTTTCAAATAAATTTTGAAATTATTAACCCTTTTGATACACTCATGCGCAATTCAACTTACTTTTTTTAAAATGACAACACAATTTCTTTCTACAGATTCAAATAGAGTATTTGTTTTAAAAATATTTTTTGTACAAAAAGGTTTTTTCTAATTACAAAATTTGGCAAAGTTGTACTATATGTTGAAATTAAATATTTATGAATAATCTGTTATTGACGAAATTTTAACTTTGTTCAATTTATACTCGAAAATCGAAATAATATCTCCAATATTTTGAAATACCTATTTGTAAATGGATATAAGACATAAATAAACACTTTTTTGTTTTCGTAATGTACTCTTATTTATTCTATTTATGTTTCCGAAATAAATTGAAGGAAATGAAAATTGTAAAAAATTACACATTATGAATTTGAAATTAAGATTTATTTATTTACAATTATAGTTTTATGAAACAAACTTTTCAAAATTTCCACGTTTATTGTTCCAAACACGATTCCAAATAGTTAAAAAATTCTCTTGACGTGACAGCGTTTATTTGGTCTTCTCTCAAATTATTACATGCTACTTTTAATTTGTTTTTTTAAATCTTGGACATTATTAGGAAGATCCACATAAACAATATTTTTTTAATGCCCCCAATAAAAAAAACTGGTATTACACAATATCAGAGATATCATCATTTCAATATTCTAGTATAAAAGTTGAATATAGTTAAAATTTGGTGAACAGAAATTATTTGTAAATATTAAATTTCAACATACTATAACTTTGCCAACTTTGTAATTAGAAAAAGCTTTTTATACAGTTTGTGATTAAAAAAAAATCCTCTATCTGAATTCCAAGAAAAAAATAGTGTTGTCATTAAAAAAATTAGGTTGTATTGTGCATGGGAGTACCAAAAGGGTAAACAATTTGAAATTTATCTGAAAATGTGTATTTGGGTACTCACTATCGTTCTCTGAAAATTCCATTTCAATACTAGGTCATCCAACTGAAATATTTAGTGGTACCTCTTAGGGTGAACACACTGTATATTGATGAAAAAGCATAACTATCAACTGAACTCCACTCAGAATTGTTTTTCGTAAGCAATGGTTTATTGTTGCTTACAGGTATACATTAAATTATCTATAACAGTGACTGTACCCGTCCCTATTATTGTAGAATGACTTTAAAAATTAAAACAAAGTATAATAAGAAGAAATCTCTAAAAAATGAGTAATTAAAAATAATGAACACACATCAAAAAGATTACCAAAATATTAATATTTATAAATATACCAATAACAGGGATTACATAGAATTTTTTTCATGATACCCTTTGAAGATTGAATAGATATAAAAAACAGTATATTCAGATGATATGTCCTTTTATTTTAAGTTTTTAATTTTAAATTATTATCATATAACAAAATAAAAATACATTTATACTTATTTTATTTATTAATATTAATCTCTAAAATATAGTAATGAATTTTTAAAATGATATTTATATTTGTTTTAAAAATAAAAAGTGAAATTATTAATATTAACTGTGATAAATTAAAAAAATTTAAGAAATGTTAAGAAATTACAGGATATTATGATGAAATGTATACAGTTGTATACATTATTTTGATATAAGTTAAGTAAATTACTTAGTAGTATGGAGCTCCATACTAGTATGGAGCAATTAATGCATTTTGAATATTAGCAGATCTTCGAGTTTTAATTTTAACATGTTTGGTCAGGCGGCCTTCTTCCATTCTCACGATGTTATTACCAGTTTGCTTTTCGGTTGTCTTCTTTTTTATTACAATTTTTTCTTCCGTCACTACAGTATTGGTTTCAATATCTCCATGAATTTCCATATGTTTTTTCAATTTGACCCATCGATTAAGATTAATACCACAAACACAACAAGTGTATACCATTGTCTTTGAAGGGTCTACAAGAGTAGTTCCAGAGACCCTGGAATATACAAAATATAATACTTTGGTTAATATTAATAATTAATTAGTATAAAAGTATTATAAAGGATTACTTTGGCAAAGCAACAGTTTTCTTAGGTTCTGGCTTGATCATTTTTTTAGTTTGTTTCTTTCGATTAACATACCTGTGAACATTAAAAATTTAATGTTTTAATAGAATGGATTAGATGTGAAATACCGATTTGGAAATGACCTTATATTTAAAGTTGAATAAATATTTTTTTCAAAATAATAATAAATATAAGTTTTTTAACAATTTATAAACTAATATGTACTAACATCTTGACAGTGAACAGTATTAAGGTTTATAATTAACTATTATTTTGTTAATAAATTAAAAAATATAACAATTATTAATAATATATAGCAACTTATGATATAGATACTGAATTAGTTATCTATAGGATGATATTTATCTAAATATATTTTGAATGTACAGTGAAAGGTCCTTACACCTCCGAATATCCCAATAGCAGACATTTTTTTTGAACATTTTCACTACTTTTCAATGGGTAAACCTCCAAATAACAAAAACTATTTTAATTTTAATTTAAAAATAGTTATGCAATAATAAATTAAAAACAAAATTATTGAAATGGTTAATACTCATAAATAAAAATATAAATAAAAAATAAATGAATGAATGTGTGGCCTGGAATATTTATGATAAGTGCACTGTATAACAAGTTTCGAATTAAATATTCATCCATCAGATACATCATAGTCAAAATATAAAAAATTAAATGAAGGAATATATAGACAATTTTTTTTTATAAAAATTGGTCATTTTACATAGAAATAATTTTTTTTAATAATAGTTTTAATTTAAAACAGGTTATTATTAGACAGATATGTTATTAAATATAAATTATTTGGTTATTGTCTAAAATGTATTGTCATAAGATATTATTTTTAAAATCGGTTTGTACATTTAAAATTGTATTCAAATAATTTTTCTTTATTTCATTGTATACATGTAATTCTTCTAAAACTGAATTAATGTAAGTGTTATTTTAGGTATTTAATATCTCTAAGTCTGTATTATTATCAAAGCTTATATTATGGTTTTTTTCTAAAACATGTTTAACGAAATTTGAATAAAGACTCTGTCAAACAGAATGCGTTATTAATGCTACCTCTAACGTTACATATGTCATACAGAAACCAAGTTGCATAATAGGTTGATAGGTTGATAGATTGATAGTAGTTGATGATATAGCAGTATTGTTAGTATGTTTGCCAAGTATAGATTACATCAAAAATATGTTTCGCAGTTCAGATGAAGAAAAACTTTTACTTTTTTATGCAATAGCTGAAAGTCAACAAAATAGGAAGAGAATTTGGGTTCATGAAATAAATAAAAAAAGAGAAAATTATGACAAATATCATCGTTTATGTTGTGAACTGGAGTCACATGAAGACCGTTTTTATTTGTACTTCCGGATGTCTCAAACAAACTAATTTTACCAAGGATTGAAAAAAAAACTACTAACTACAGGAAACCAATATCCCTTATTATACTGTTATCATATTATATAATATATTTATAACATAATATAATATAATATGTATTCCTTCCTTTCTAAAAATAACGCTGTATCCCATGTGATTTTGTAATTTTGTACAACATTGTGTTCTAGCAATTCGTTTAATCACGCTGAGGCGCCATGAATGATAGCTGATATGATTTTTAATTGAATTCAACACGATGATAAAACGCTGTTTGAGACTTTAGGGGCAATCTTATTTTATTTTATTTCAGAAATGTGTTCTTAATATTTTATTTTAAAATTTATATTTGCCTTACCTATATAAAATGTATTACAGTTAAATTTAAGTTTATATATACAAGCATTATCAAAAGAAGGGGGATTTTTTGTGAAAATTTGGGTTATATTGTTTATAAGTTTGATTAAATTAATATTAGTCTAAAAAGCGATTTTTACATTATTTGTATTATTGTTTGGAATTTTAGCGAATTTGTTGAATATAAAGAAAACATTTCTTAAATAAAATTTAAAAAGGCTGCTTCTAAAAACTTTGTCAAACAGAACAGGTTAGTTACCAGAAAGCGGTATTATCATTGCGTTGTATTCAGTTACAAATCATATAGACTGTCAAACATGGTGTCTTAGCGTGATTAAACGAATTGCTAAGACGCCATGTTGTACAAAATTAAGTTTTCCTAAACATGTTTTAGAGGAAAACCATAATATAAGCTTTGATATTAATACAGACTTAGAGATATTAAATACCCAAAATAACATTAACATTAATTCAATTTCAGAAGAATTACATATATACAATGAAATAAAGAAAAATAATTTTAATAATATTTTAAGGGCTAGGGTCTTAGTCTCAGTAAAAACTTATAATTATATAAAAACAGGTGTCCTGGTTAATAATAACTATATTATGCCTTATTATATTATAACAAGCTATGTTTAAACAAAAACCTATAAAATAACAGTAATGTATAAAACATAAAAATAAACTGGGATGTAGTTTGGTATTCAATCAAATAATTAGTATATCTGCATGGACATCATGTACATGAAAAACAAATAAAATAAAAAAATATATTTACACTTCTTTTATTTTCTAATATTATTCTCTAGAATGAAGTTATGAATCTTTAAAATAATATTTAAATTTATTTTAAAAATGAAATGTGAAATACTGATATTGCTGTTATATATAAAATACAATTAAAGAAATGTTAAGAAATTACAGGATATTATAAAATATATAGTTGTATACATTACTGTGGTAATAGTTAAATATGTTAGTTTAGTTAGTATGTAATGTTTTATGTACTAGAAATACTGGCATACTTAGTTTTAATTTTAACATGTTTGGTCAGGCGGCCTTCTTCCATTCTCACGATGTTATTACCAGTTTGCTTTTCAGTTGTCTTCTTTTTTATTACAATTTTTTCTTCCGTCACTACAGTATTGGTTTTAACATCTCCATGAATTTCCATATGTTTATTCAATTTAACTTGCCGATTAAAATTAATACCACAAACATTGCAGTTGTATAATGTAGCCCCTATAGGGTCTGCACGAGGCGCTTGCCTGGAATATAAAATATAATACTTAGGTTAGTATTAAGTTATAATTTTGGTTATAATTAATTAGAAGAAAATTATTATAAAGGATTACTCTGCCAATTCAAGTTTCTTCTGAAGTTTAAAACTTGCTCTGCACTTTGAGGAATGTTGAGTTGCTGCATCATCACTTAAACAGCAGAGCAAGCAAATTTTGCACACCCACATAGTTGAATAACCATTTTTACCACCATCGTACCTTACCATAGCCAAAGGACAATAGAGCTTAGGTGGCTTATTCGTTTTATTAGTTTTTCCCTTTTTCGATTTACACTTCGATTTTTTCTTTGCCATAATTAATCTGTGAATATTTAAAATTTAATAAAAGTGGAATTTTTTGAATACACAACAAATGTCACATTTTTTATTTCAACTGGAAGTCATATTAATATAAATTATAGTAGATTAATTAATTATGTACATATCTTTTATTTATAAGAAGAATCAGATTAATAATATTAAAACATATTAAATATATTTTTGGGTAGTACCAATTGATGAAATATTCACAACATTTTCCCAGTATTAAAAAAAAAAATGTTGTCAGTCATGTTAAGACACAAAATGATGAAGCTTATTGAGTACATAAGAACTATTCCCATGTTATATGATTTTAAAAACAAGCAATACAGGAATCAAGTTTCGAGAAGAGACTTGTAATGATTTAATATGATTAAAATGCTTTAAAATGACTTTCTTCAGTAGTTAGTTTATTTAAATTCAGACTCTATATCCTATTTATTTTTATTTAATTATACAAATTATTAATAAAATATCTACTTATAGCAGTGTTTCCCAACCTTTTTCCTACCACCGACCATTTCGATAATTTTTAATACGTTGCAGACCACCTCAATTGAAGGGCTCCCTGTTACAACAAGATAAGTCCACTTTTTAAAATTGTTCAGGAGAAAAAAAATTCTAAATAATAATTATTTTGATCATAATGAAAACAATTTCTTTTTCACTAATAACATTTTATATACATACAACTACAATTTATTTGTTAAACATAATAATTTTAAACAAGTATACAAACCTAAAAATATATATGAAATTGTCAAAGTAAATATAAGTGTCAAATAGTCAAACAAAATTTAGGAACATAGTATTCATTCCTAAGATTAATTTAGTTTATAATTCACATATTTATATTGATATTAGGTATGGTTTATTACAAAATAAAATAATATAGTATCCAAAATACTACATGATATTTCAACTTATTGTATAAAATAAAATAACAAAACATTATATTGTAAATGTTTGTAAATCAGTTCATAAGAAAATTAATTGTTGAGAAAGCTCATCCAATTGGAGTTGTATACTCATTAAAAATACGTAAAAACGTACAAATTTAATTAATCTCATAACTAAATGTTTGAGGAACTATGCAATTATATCGGTCGCAATAATATTTAATAAATCGTTATTTAATGGTATTTAATAAATACTTTTAGCAATACTCAAAGCAATAAACCTTCATCACAATAATAAAAGTTGAAACACACTAATCAATCTTCGGCGGTAATAACGATAATATTATTTATTACTTTGATAAACACTTTTAAAAGTGGAAAAACACAATGGATACTATATTTTTATTTATATTTTTAAAATGAACGAGTAAAAAAAATAATATAAAATCTATGGGACCGCGGACCCCCTATAACAGGCTCGCGGACCACCTATAACAGGCTCGCAGACCACCTATAACAGGCTCGCGGACCACCTATAACAGGCTCGCGGACCACCGATGATCCGCGGACCCCTGGTTGGGAAACACTGACTTATAGTTAGAAGTATAGCTAAGAAATATACTCAAACTAAAATTAAATTAAACTTTAAATTTTGGTTTAGGGACAGTAAAAGTCCATATCTTCTAATGTCCTCAATTATTGATTTCTATAGATATAACCTACTCATACTAGGAACAGTACCTACAATCAAATTGAAAAAAATATATTAATATTAATAATAATCACAGCAAAGAAACATTAGGAGAGATTTGGTAATGACTAAATTGGATGAATCTACATCTGTAGGAAAAAAATAGACAAATTGATTAATATTCATCCAAAGGTTCAGCCTAATCTATTGAACCTATACTATTTTTTTGTACATACACAATATTTTAGATAAAGATCAATAGCAATTGTATGGATAATAATGGGGATGATAACTAAACAAATTATAAAAAGATTTTAATAACAGAACTCAAAATGTTTACACTTGTTTAAAATGTTTATAAAAATATTACCTACAAGAATGCTATTCAGAAATTGAATAAAAGTTAACCATCTATGTTTAATTAGCTAAGGATTAAATTTCTAGATTAAACTTTTAATATTATTCATGTATATATATATGTAATATATATCTGTGACATTACCTAATAAAAAAAAATTATTTTAAGATTAAATAAGTGTTATCAGGAACAAAAATATCTAGAGAATAGATGAAATAATTTCAATAAATAAATATTGCAACCACTAAAAGTTAAAATTCACACTCGGATCACCTACCTATGTGTTAAAAAAAAATGTATAAGCTTTTAGCTGTATACAGCTAAAACATATAAATCTATTAGGTATGTCATTATAATATTCAATTTTATATTTAATATAATAATAATTATTAAATCTATTTATTTTAAAAATTAAAAGAAAAATGTGGGTTTAATTTTACTATGGAAATAACAATTATGGTGTAACCATTTCATTGTATTATAATATAGATCCAATTAAAACGAGTTATCAATTAAACGGTAGATATTTTCTATGCTACTTTAATAACACTAGAGCTAGAACTTTAAACGTTATATTCACTGAATACACCCAGGTTAATTCCACTTTGAATAAATATGTAGGTAATATTATAAAACACAAACAATATTTATAAGGCAAAGTTGAACAGTGCGGTCAACAAAATGGTAATCCAACGTGAAAATATTAATATGTCAATTGTTGCATTTAGCTCCGACCTGTCTTAAATGATAAATTCAATAAATTAATAAAGGTATAAACTTTACCAATATGTATTATGGAAATGTATATATTTGTATTCTCAGATCCGTTGAAATACCGGTAATCTTACGATAATTATTAACGTTACCATAAACACATTTTACCTGTCGTTTGTGGTAGCGATTACAAAAACTACATTTAATGAACAGAAGTTGGGTAGTCAATGAATACATTTAGCTGATAATAAAACGTAATAAATATAACAATTTAATATTATAATAAATGCATCATCTCATAATACTCATTGAAAATAAAAGTGTTATCTTAACATCGGCATCGTGGCTATGGTATGAAAATACGTATAAAAATAATTGAACTACAAAACTAAAAAAGTATTAATACTAAAATTTACAATTTGTATAAAATATAGAATTATACATTTACACTAATACATAACGACATTGTAAAGTTAAAATCACGATGGCCGAAAAAATGCATAACATCCAATAAATAATTTACTGGTTTTAGTCAAACAAAATGGGAATCCAACGTGAAAATATTAATACGTAAATTGTTGCATTTAACTCCGACCTGTCTTAAATGGTAAATTCAATTAATTAAAAATAGGTATAAAATTTACCGATAGCTATTATGAAAACTTTATACTTGTATTTTCAGCCTAGCTGCAATGCCGGTAATATACAATAATTATTAATGTTAATTGTTAATGTTATTAATAATAAAACACATTTTACCTGTCGTTTGTGATCGCGATTACAAAAACAACGTTCAATTAACAGAAGTTGAGTGGTCAACGAATATTTAGCTGATAATACAACGTATTAAATATAACGATTTAATATTATAATACATGCATCATCTCATAAAACTCGTTGAAAACAAGTGTCATACAAATAGTATTAGTGCCAGTGTAAACTGAACATGTACACTAATACATAATGCCAGTGTATGGTTAAAATCACGATGCCAGAAAAAATTCTTAACCTCCAATAAAATTATAATAATAATAACTTACAGTGTTTATACAAAGAGTATACAAAATCATAGATGTAGATAATATTACCTATGGCCGCGTACCAAACTTACGTTATTCCGGTTATATTAAAATGTTTAAAATAATCAAAAATTTCGAAAATTTACAATTTTTTTTTTCAATTTATTGATTTTTCAAACCAATTTTGAAATCCATAATCACTATCACGGTATGGCCGCCATCTATAACCGTCGCGTCGTCTTCTGGAGGTTAGTTCAGCATGACCATGTGCTAAATCCATCATCAAACATTTATTGTTTATTTTGTCAAGATATCTATATACAGAATATCGAACAGAAATGTCTTATCAATATTTTTCTGAGTTCGTCCGGTTCTTACTGTTTGGCACGGCAGCTTACTATTAGGTAAAATTGATATAAAAATTAACTAAAATCGTGTTAAAGTTTTCACCGGAGGAGCAGGGTATGTAATAAATTGCATATCTATTCTATAATTAATATTGATATAGCTTGTGGAGAATACATTGGATGGTGTTTGTGGCCTTACCAAAAGTAAGAAGGTTGAAGATTCGAGCTTTACTTATCACTGATTCGTAAAGTATTCTGTATACTTAAATTCACGGCCACGGGCATCAAGACAATGTTAAACGCCACAGATCCAGGTGATTTTTTTTTTACTAGTGCGGTTCTGTTTCATTCGATCTTAAGTACGAATTCTAAATTCTAAATTATTCAATGAATCAGTAAACTAATGATAAGAATTTTCTATTAATCTACACTTTGAACTTTTTTGTTTAAGATTTTCTACTTTTCGCACAGTTTCAACAATGGAAATATTTATTTATTTTCAATTATTAAAATGGATGCTTTTTTGTATTTTGAAATTATAAAACCAAGTACAATTTGTAGTAATTTTCAAGAAATTCATGCTGAAATTGATTATGGTATGTATGTATAATATATTGTACAAAAGATTTTATCATGATAATTTCTAATCATATTACAATTTCTGTTTTAGATGATGACATATGTGCAAATACTTAAATTGTTGGAATGGGTGAAAACAAATTTATACCAAAAGTTGAAATGTGTAGTAAAATTGTAAGCATTATAGATAATTTAGTACAGTGGTCTTCAACCTTTTTGAACTCACGTACCAATTTTTAAGGCGTACATTATTCGCGACTCACATAAGGCATATTTAAAAAAAAAATTGAAGTAAAACAAAAAAAAAAAATCTATAATTACTTAATACTTTGTAGTAGTACTGTTATAACTGAATAAATAAAAATAAAAAAGACTTTAACGGATATGTAAATATGACTAGACTAGTGAATTAATTGTAAGTGGTCCTCAAGTA